ATTCCCAGTTACTTTGCACTATACCTGCCAAATAAATGGAGCTGATCTCATGAAATGTGTGCTTGAACACACAACCTCATAATTATCAGATCTATGCAAGGTCAGAGAGGTCAAAAACTTATAATAATTAGGTCAAAGTAAACTTTCGGTTATGTAAGATGAGATCTGCCAAAAATGACTAAATTCCAGTGAATAGAGCCATAATTATGGTTAAAACAACAACCTCAGGTGGTTCTAGGCAAACTGTTACTTCAGGGCTCATACCACTAATTGAATTTCCATAGACGACAATGTTAACATATGACGAGATTGCTATATAAAAATGACGAAGAAAGTTGAAAATATGGCTCAAAAATGGGAAATCAACATGCCAGTAATCAACCATATGAAAAAAACTAACATGTTGGCCAGCTCAAACTCTTGCAAATCTCAGGTAAACAAGACACACCTACTGTATTTGGATTGCACCAAGAGAAATCACTGGAAAAACACCAAGATTAGAACATCCATTAACACACAGAATAAACCCACAGGTACACAGCCGCTAAGTAGTAAACAAAAGACCACATGTTGGTCTCACCTCTGACCCAGGTGATTACGCCCTCAAACAGGGAGCACCTGAGAAAAATAATATTTAAAAAATTTCATTGGTTCTTGCTAGGCATTTAAATTGAGGGCTACGAGCAGCCATTGGTTAATTAGTGGCATGAGACCTTTACTTCCGCAATGTAATTTTTATGATCACTACCATTCGGAAAACTTCGGGTTCTACCGGCATTACCATGCGGCATTTTGATTGGTTAATGGAATTCTTGACCCATCGGGTCAAAGGACACATGCTAATGTTTCACAAACATCATGGCGGGTCTGTTTTTTTTTTACCGAAGCGATAAAGTGATCAAAAATAATCGCTCCCGATAAAAATAAGTCGGATTTTACTTACATTTCATATCAAAAAAAAAAAGAAGTAAAATTTGTTGAGGAATTATTGCTATACATGTAACTGGTGTATAACATGGCCAAGTAAGTTATGTCACGTCGTAACTTTGATGATCGTTTTGAAGCTTTATTTGTTTGCTCATTACTGTAATTGTAAACGTTTTAGAAGTTGATGGTACAAATAATAAATTACAACAATACGTCAATTAATTACGTGATCGATTTTTTGAAGGAGAATGTTTTTGGAGTGAATAAAATTATGAGATTCGTGAACATAAATCTGGCTTAACGTTTTGAATGCATTTCCTTCAACGTTTTACAAAACAATTAAATTGCAACAATAATGTATTTGTGTTTGATTTTAGTCTGCAGCATTTGTATTTCGAGAATGTTTCAAACTCTTCTAAATTGTGAAACATAATGTGTTGATTCCATTAAAAAAAAATATTTGCCCTGTGACTGAGCTCACTAATATTCATAATTGTAAATAAGTTCTGTTAATCAATGAAGGAAAGATATGTAAATGATATGCAAATTATTATGCAAATTAGTCCTGGCGCTATGCATTTTTTCTGGGGAGAACCCTGGGCAACATGCATCTAAAGCAAACAACATGTTCACTTACAGAGTATCTAACAAGTCCATCTGAAATATAGTGTATCTTCTCAAGTGACGTCATATTGTCATTGTGGTCTGGTGCACTAAATCCCCAAAAAAGAACATCAACTAATATTTTTTGTAATGGTTTTAGCTTCGACAATAGTTTTGATGGTGAGATGCAAGAAAATATTTTGCTTTTGTCAGCTTCTATTTGCAATACTGTGTCGCACATTTGTGTTACGCATGGAAGGAACCATACTTCTTCTGTGCCAATAACATCCTAATATCTATATACAACAATTTTAAGGACCCCAAATGCATCAGAAATGATATTTTTTTGAAATTTTTGGTTGATGATGTCTTCTTTTCTTAGTAACCGTGTTACAGTACAGTTTTGTTCACAGGAACATGAAAAACAGTGACAATGACAGTGCTACATTTATCTGACAAGAACAGAACACTCATCATAGCTCTCAACGATTGTTATTTGAGAGTACATTAGAGATGGTATATTGCTCAAAAGTTTATCAGTGGCATTTGAAAAAAAAACAAAACACACACACACACAGTTTATATGAGTATGTCCATGATTCAGCCAAGATGGAGTTTCTTAGTGTCGTCACAGTGTCGAATGTGAAAAAGTAGTTATTTCAAGATGTGGTAAACCCGTACCTTATCTTTTTCCTCCGACTTTTTTGGAGATTTCGCGATCTTTTGCTTTTTCGACCCCGATGTCGTAAGTACGGTATAATCTGTCAATTCTTCAAAACACACGATTTCTCCGGCTTCGTCAATCTGAGAAAGATCCATGTCACCAAGATCTACAGTCTTCCAGTTTGCGTTGGACATTATGTCTTTCATTCCACCTCTTTTCCTCTTCTTAAATCTATTTCCTAATTTACCATGCTTACTTGTGGACGTCGCCATTTTATTTTTTCGGGTCATGTCATACCCATGATCCACTGCGAGATAAATTAGGTCGCAGGTTAAGCATCCGGGTATTTCAGCCTCGCCGGTTGGCAAGAAGCAGGACAAAACATCACGGATCTGCTGTAAATACCACCAACAATTCGAAGGTAATAAGCAACATTCTTTGAGTTTAAAATAACCATATTCCATCAAGAGTATATACAGCAAATCATGATCACACGAATTACGATCATGAGTGAAAATCGCCCAATAATCGCGGCTGTATTTTGAGAAAATGCGGCCTTTCGTTTGCGGAACTAATGCCGTCATCGAAATACCTATGAAATGGCAACAAACGCGTGCTCCGAATAAACCTCCGTTAAAAGTTGTCGAACGTATTGTTTTGATGTCTTTTGATTTTTAGTGTCATTGTTGTTATATGCCACGTTTAAAATAGTTCAAATAGACAGTGGGGAATAATATATTTTGACTATGTTGATCATGTACTTAACAAGTGTGAATTCGTACGACAACATCAAGTAGCTTCAAACCCTTAGTCATTCACGTATTCGCAGTCTGGGTTTCAATTATGTTGTCCAACATTGTCAGGGTCTTCTTCGTTGATTTATTTTTACCATTACATTCGCTGGTTTTAGGTGAATCGTCTGTGAAAGAGTTTCTTAGAAAAACAACATTTTTGTCAAACCAATCAGACTTTCTTTTTTGCTACTTCCTGTTTTAAATCGTAAATGTACAATCATTCTCATAATGTAATATATTTTTCACAGAAACAGAGTCTTGTCTGTAAACAACTGAGACACAAACAGTTGTTCATTTTTCAAATATCCAATTTAGTTCACTGCCCAACTGCATGAAATAAATCATGGTGTTGTGTAATGAATTGACTTTGTCAACAACAATTCAACTGCTATTCACTATTAAAGGCCCAATTCACTTGCCCAGGGCAAGTGTGAATTGGAGGTGTGGCTATGCTAATGAGTGTTGTTAATCACTTGCATAGCCTATGACGCAACCTGTTTCAGCGGTCCAACATCACGTGACTTTGATTGACAGTAATTAATTATTCAAGATTAGTAGCGCGTCCCTTTCCCCGGTTCGTGTTTTTTTTACTTTTATCTGCCAAAATCTCAGCTCGTACATTATTTATTGTCATAAATACTACACACAGTCACTGCTGTGATATTCATAGTCACATGCATCCACTTTGGCACGACATAATCGACCTGTAAGTTCGAGAAAACACATTTTTACCGGAGCTTGGCTGGAGCTGTTTACTACAGCATGACAATATCCCTATTGTTTAGGAGCGTATTTATAGTATACAGGGGCCTTTAATGACTATGTATAGTTACTACAAGTAACAACACCAAGTTCCAGCATTAGATTGTTTCAAACAAACTACTAGTAATATAAATAGCGTTGTCATGGTATTAAAACTGTATGTGTTTAATACTAATATTTTCATTACAGGTGTGTAATTTGATTTATTGCATTATTTGTAATGTATTGCTGGTAGACATTCCTAATTGTAACATTAATTTCAATTCTAACATCATTTTTGTTTATAGTCAGCACCTTTACACTGTATGCACCCTGACTGTGTCCCAGATCTGTTTTTGGTATTTGCAATATAAGAACCATATCTGAATAGAAGTGCACATAAACTTAAAAGTGCATTTTAATATATTGTATTGAGCCCTAAAAATCCAAAATGAAAACCTCATGAATATAGTGAGCTTGTACTGACATTATCAAAAAAACGAAGTAACATTTTTTGCTTGGCATCATAACTGAGTAAGAGGAATAATCAGTGTATAACATCGCGAAGTAAGTTATGTCACGTCGTAACTTTGAAAGTTCGGAAGTTTTATTTGTTCGTTCATTACTGTGAATATATACATTTTAGAAATTGATGGTACGAATAATAAATTACAACAATACTCCACGTTGGGCTGGCGAGATCCCTGATAAGTTTAACACAATAGCAACAGAAATGCATTCATCGGACCTAATTTCCAGAAAGCTTATCAGTACATCTCCTGGTGTCTACTGCCATTTATGTTTGTGCAACTTATACAACCCCGGAAATCCTGCATAAATGTATTGAAATTGAATTAAAACAACCACTGTGACAATACTAAATGATCAAACACATATGTTGAATGACTTTCCGCTTTGGTGGGAGTTACTGTTGACAGAAACGAGACCTTGTCGCCATGCCTTTGCGGATGTTACAATACAGTTACAGTTTTGAGAGAATGATGCTAACTCTCTTGAAATGGTGTGTTATCTTGACACATTTGTCAACTGATGTAGATATTTCCGACTCAAATATTCAAATGAGGTGAACTGAGGTTGCTGACTTGGCCATCAAAATTCCACCAAATGGCAAAGCATTGATTTCTCTAAACACATATTCAAAACAAATATGAACTTTTTATCCTGCCAATGTTTAACTTTTTGATCATCGTGTGGTCTAATTCAAACAAAAAATTTGATTTTAATGCATCAATTGCGATTTTGTTTACCTTCAGTATCTTATGCAAATAAGTGCGTATAAATGGCATAAATGAATAATTTACTTGTTGCTTTAGTTATGTTATGCTGTATGCCAAGATGGTCTTTTGGCACATTATTTTTATCACTGTTTTAATCCATTTAAGGTAGAGATGCAGTTTATTTGTGAATTTCAATCAAAAATAGTTTTTT